TCTATAGTCTAGTCTATAGTCTAGTCTATAGTCTAGTCTATAGTCTAGTCTATAGTCTAGTCTATAGTCTAGTCTATAGTCTAGTCTATAGTCTAGTCTATAGTCTAGTCTATAGTCTAGTCTATAGTCTAGTCTATAGTCTATATAGTCTATAGTCTAGTCTATAGTCTAGTCTATAGTCTAGTCTATAGTCTAGTCTATAGTCTAGTCTACAGTCTAGTCTATAGTCTAGTCTATAGTCTAGTCTATAGTCTAGTCTATAGTCTAGTCTATAGTCTAGTCTATAGTCTAGTCTATAGTCTAGTCTATAGTCTAGTCTATAGTCTAGTCTATAGTCTAGTCTATAGTCTAGTCTATAGTCTAGTCTATAGTCTAGTCTATAGTCTAGTCTATAGTCTAGTCTATAGTCTAGTCTATAGTCTAGTCTATAGTCTAGTCTATAGTCTAGTCTATAGTCTAGTCTATAGTCTAGTCTATAGTCTAGTCTATAGTCTAGTCTATAGTCTAGTCTATAGTCTAGTCTATAGTCTAGTCTATAGTCTAGTCTATAGTCTAGTCTATAGTCTAGTCTATAGTCTAGTCTATAGTCTAGTCTATAGTCTAGTCTATAGTCTAGTCTATAGTGTAGTCTATTGTCTACTGTATAGTCTAGTCTATGATCTAGTCTTTAGTCTAGGAAATTGCAAAAAATCATGTTTTATAACAATTATTCATTAATTTTTAAAAATAGATAAAATTCTGTTTAAATTTCATTATTTTTTTTTTAATCTTATTCTTCATAATTTAATACAATTTTGTAAAAAAAAGATCTAGCAGCACGTTCCTTATTATCAAAGATCTGTGTACTACTTTTGTTTTAATTTCTAGGAATAATTACTTATTTTATAACTTTTGTTTCTATCTCATTACAGTTCGAAATTGTTTTAAAAATTTTCTTAAAAAAAATTTCGTAAATTATTTGTGGATTTCTTATTTTCGTAACCAGAGGCAGCCTGCAAAATGTTTGGGCTTTTAACAAATAATTTTATTAATTATCAGGATTGGAAATTAATTAATAATTTGAACTCAAGGAAATAATGTCGCAAAATGCTGCCGATAGTTTGGTAAGTTTATAGTTATAGTTTGTTTTGAACAAATATTATTTAATTTTATTATTAAGGAAGCATATAAGTATTAAATTGGCTTAAAATTTATTTAATACTTTTATTAACACTAACGTGTGAAAAAAATGATTTTTGAATGGAAATCTTATTTTGCTGCAAACAAAGTGATATGATTTAGCTTTTTTTTGTTATTTTTTTAATGACCATTATAACCTTTTTTGTACGAAAAAAAAAAATATATGAAACGAAACGTAACGTATAAATAATAATAATACAAAAAATCCGACTCACACTCATGGCTACAGAGATACCTAAATATATTTCGAACCCAAACTATACATTTTCTTTTTAAAAGATGTTAAAACGTGAGAATTTTATTAAATTTATTTTCATATAAATGGAGTTTTTTTTTTAACAACACAATTTATTTTGGGAAATTTTATAAACATAAAATGTCTTAACATTTTCGCATTTGTTGAAAATTTATGATTTAAAGTTTTTCTTTTTAATTTGCACATTCAAAACTGAAATGTATGCAAATTATTAATAAATAAGTATTTTATTATGACTAATCTAAAAACATTTCCCTTTAAATAATCTGTAATTATTATTTAACAAAAAAAAAAAAAAAACAGCAACTAATGTAGTTGTAATTACTATACAAACAAAAAACTGCTTAAGCTTAATAATTAAGTTCTAATTTGTTGTTTTTTTTTTCGTAAAATTGTAATAGATTAACAACAGCCTTTAAAAAGCGTGGGAGATTTTTCAAAATAAACACATGCACACACACATACATACATAAACAGCATTTCCTCTCATTCTAGCTCTTCCTCTCTTATATTAAATTGTAATAGATTTGTAAACAACTTTTACAACAACAATAACAACAAACAAAAAATTCTTAGAGAAAACAAAACAAAATGAGAGAGAAATTAAAAGAGTGAACAGAAAGAAAATAAAAACGTAAAGCGAATATGAAACGGAAACGTTAACGGAAAATAATTTTCGTGAAAATTTAAATTTTTGGTTAAAGTGAAATTTTTAGTGAAACATTTAATTTTTGGCGAAACTTTTGGATTTTTAGTTTAAAAAAATCTTTAGTGAAAACTTGAATTTTTGTTAAAAATCGAATTTTTTGGTGAAACATAGAAATTTTGGTGAAAATGTGAATTTTTAGTGAAAATTTAAATTTTTAGTGAAAATTTGGATTTTTAGTGAAAACTTGGATTTTTAGTGAAAATTTGGATTTTTAGTGAAAAATTTAATTTTTGGTGAAAATTTTAATTTTCAGTGAACATGTGAATTTTTAGTGAAAAATCGAATCTTGAGTGAAAAATTGGATTTTTACTGAAAAATCTAATTCTCAGTAAAAAAATGGATTTTAATGAAAATTTTGTCTTTTAGTGAAAATTTAGATTTTTAGTAAAAATTGGATTTTTAGTGAAAAATTATATTTTTAGTGAAAAATTGGATTTTTGTTGAAAATGGGATTTTTAGGGAAAATTTGAATTTTTTAGTGAAAAATTGTACTTTTTGTGAAAAATTTGATTTTTGGTGAAAAATCGGATAGAGAAGTGTCTTCTTTGGACTCTTTCCTATAGAAAAGAGTCTTCTTTAGATTCTTTTCTATAGAAAAGTGTCTTCTTGAGACTCTTTTCTATAGAAAGTGTCTTCTTTGGACTCTTTCCTATAGAAAAGAGTCTTCTTTAGATTCTTTTCTATAGAAAAGTGTCTTCTTGAGACTCCTTTCTATAGAAAGTGTCTTCTTTAGACTCTTTTCTATAGAAAAATGTCTTCTTGAGACTCCTTTCTATAGAAAGTGTCTTCTTTAGACCCTTTTCTATAGAAAAGTGTCTTCTTTATGCCCTTTTCTATAGAAAAGTGTCTTCTTTAGACCCTTTTCTACCTAGACCCTAGTCTTCTTTAGACTATTTTCTATAGAAAAGTGTCTTCTTTAGACTATTTTCTATAGAAAAGTGTCTTCTTTAGACTCTTTTCTATAGAAAAGTGTCTTCTTTAGACTCTTTTCAATAGAAAAGTGTCTTCTTTAGACTCTTTTCTATAGAAAAGTGTCTTCTTTAGACTCTTTTCTATAGAAAAGTGTCTTCTTTAGACTCTTTTCTATAGAAAAGTGTCTTCTTTAGACTCTTTTCTATAGAAACGTGTCTTATTTAGACTATTTTCTATAGAAAAGTGTCTTCTTTAGACTCTTTTCTATAGAAAAGTGCCTTCGTGAGACTCTTTTCTATAGAAAAGTGTTTTCTTGACACTCTTTTCCATAGAAAAGTGTCTTCTTGAGACTCTTTTCTATAGAGAAGTGTCTTCTTTAGACTCTTTTTCTATAGAAAATTGTTCGATTAAGACTATTTTCTATAGAAAAGTGTTAGATTGTTTCTTGTTCGATGTTTTTTATAGAAAATAATCTTCTTTAGGCTGTTTTCTATGGAAATGTTTCTTCTTTAGAGTCTTTTCTATAGAAAAGTGTATTCTTTAGACTCTTCTCTATAGAAAAGTGTGTTCTTTAGAATCTTTTCTATAGAAAGTGTTTTCTTTAGACCTTTTCCTAGAAAAATACCGTTCTATATATCCCTCTAACGTTAACGTTTTCACGATAACATGTTCTGAACTAGAGCAAAACAAATAATAAAGACAAAGAATAACAACAAAAACAAAATGAAGAAAACACACCACCATTATTAAAATGCACAGTTGAAAAACAAAAAAATAAACCTGTAAAAAAGGGGGCGATTTAAAGAGAATAAGAAATATATTAGAAGAAGTAAAAGAGAATAGAAAAGGAATGGACATAAAAAACAACCCCAAATGGGAGAAGATGTACTTAGCTAACGGCACACTTCAATGATGATGAGTAAACTAGAATTATAATAAAAATAGCAACAACAACAAATGTTATTAACACAGTACTAAACTCTATTTAAATGAGAATAATGTGATGTTGTTGTAGTTAAACAAGTAGAGGGTAATTGTAGATGTGTTGTTTAATGTTTTTTGTTGTTATTAAATGTGTTTGATTAGAGAGGGCAAAAAAATCGTATTGGATTTTTGTTGGGGGAATTTTTTGCGTCTCTCTGTTAGTTGGTTGGCAGCGGTGAGCGTGTGAAATACATTTTTTTCGTTAAAAAATAATAAAAATAAAATTTTGATTTTAATATTGCGCTGGTGAACAAAAAAAATAAAAGCAGAAATTATTAAAATTTTAAAGAAAATTAAAAAAATCAAGAGTTAAAGAAAAAAATCTAGAAAAATTTAAATAAAAATTTATTTAAAATTTAAAGAAAATAAGAGGGAAAAAAGTTAAAATAAGTAAAGAATGTTTTATATTAAAAATTTAAATTAAAATTTAATTTCAAAATTGTGAAAAGCAAAAAATTAAAAGAAAACAACGTCACAAAAAGTGCAACGACCCTTTAAGTGGTAAAAAAAGGAAAAACCCACTATTGAGAGTTCTTATAACAACAAACCAGTGACGAATTTATTAATGTGGCTTTAACCATTTTTTTCCTATTTATCTAAAACGGACTGAAAACTAAAGAGTGAGTAGTGTCAGTCTGTTCAGTGGCTCGCCTATTTTGTATGCTTTGTACTATTACCTGTGTGCATAATATAGAAAGAAGAAAGAAAGGAAACAAAAACTCAGCAGACTAGCAACCACTCCTTTAAACAACGAAACTAATTGGCCCAAAGAGGGGTTGTTGCATGCCGCACAAATAAATTCACAATTTTCTAAATAAATATTGTTCAACTCTAGCTGGATATTACATGAAATTTTTGGGATTTAACCATAAAAGTGCAGTTGAAAATCCACAAAGAAAAACATCAAAATCGATCAATAAATTCTTGGAAATCAAAACACTGAAAAACGGCTTCATTTACTCCCTATACAGCCTTAATTTCTACGTCATCTTCTTCTGCTTCATCATCCACAGCTTGTTTACTCACCACCGCCTACTACTCCTCACCCTCTTGCCTTAAAATAAAATTTAAGGATTTTCTCAATAAAACCAAAAATGTTTTAAAAATCAAAATCTCAAATTATCAGCAACAACAGCAAACTCAACAGCAACAGCGACATCTCGAACAACAACAACAACAATCTCATCTACAACAATTACAAAAATCTTCTCAAATGGTAATAAACAAATTTAAACTAATTTTTATATAAAAATTTATTTAGAAAAAAGTGTGTGTGTGTGAAATTAAATAATTCTTTAAATAACTTGTAAATAACAGCAACAACTACAAAACAATGTTTGACAATAACAACTATAATAATAATGTTCAATTTAGACAACAACAACAACCACAAATATTCATATAAGAAGTTGCGTGTCTTTTTTTATATAAGAATTGACATGAGGGTTTGACAATTGTCGTTTTTTTTCCTTTCCTCTTCCTCTCTTTTTCTACTCCTTGTTTTTATTATGTTTGTTGTGCAAAAAAAGAAGAAATATATTTTTAAACTCACCGCTATTAATTAGTTAGAGTGGCCAGATTATTGCAATTACAGCAAATATCTAAAATGAGAAGGGAAAAATTCAAGTTAAAGTCTCCTTTAAAAAAAAAGATTCTAAAGGATAAATATTGTCATAAATTAAACTAAGACACCTTTCTATAGAATAGAGTCCAGAGAAGTTACCTTTCTATAGAATAGAGTCCAAAGAAACACTTTTCTATAACAATCTGTCTAAAGAAGAGAAGAGACTCTCCTATTGAACAATCTATCCAGCAAGATTGTAAAAAAGACACTTTTCTATAGAAGCGAATCTAAAGAACCCGCTTTTCTATAGAAAATATTCTAACACTTTACACTAGAAAAGAGTCCAAAGAAGATACTTCTCTATAGAATTGAGTCCAGAGAAAACACTTTTCTATAACAATCAGTCTAAAGAACAGACTTTTCTATTGAACAATCTATCCACCAAAAGTTATACAGAAGACACTTTTTCTATAGAAGCGAATTTAAAGAACCCACTTTTCTATAGAAAAGATTCTAACACTTTACAAAAGAAAAAAAGGCCAGAAAAGATACCTTTCTAAATAAAATAGTTTAGAGAAAACTTCTTTCTATAGAAGAGAATCCAGGGAAGATATTTTTCTGTAGAAAATAGTCTAAAGAAGACAATTTTTTATAAGAGTGAGTCTAAAGAAGTATAAAGAAACCACTTCTTTTATAGAATATATTCTTAAGAATATGGAAATGATTCTGAAAAAGACTAGTTTCTATAGAAAATATTTTAAAGAAAACCCTTTCCTATAATCTGGAGATTACACTTTTCTATAAAAGTAATTGCAGAGAAGACATTCTTCTATAGAATATATTCTAAAGAATACACTTTTCTTTAAGAGATAATGGAAAGTCCGCTTTTCTATAGAATATATTCTAAAGAACTATTTTCTTAAATAAAAAGTCTAGAGAAAACACTTTTCTATAGAAAGAAGACAAGAGTAAAAACATTTCTATAGAAAATAATCTAGCGAAGAATGTTTTCTGAGGAAAAGAATCTAAAGAAGACAATCTTTTATAAGAGTGAGTCTGAAGAAGACACTTTTCTATTAAACAAAGTCTAAAGAAGAAACTTGTATAGAATTGATTCTAAAGAAGAAACGTTTCTATAGAAAATAATCTAAAGAAATCCCTTTTCTATAAAAAATAGTCTAAAGAAGACACTTTTAATATAAAGAGTCCACAGAAAGCACTTATTTTAGAAACAAAGAAAATTCTTTTCTATAAAAAAATTTCCCAAGAAAACATTTTTTTTAGACAAGAATCCAAAGAAAATGGTTTTATATAGAGAAGAAATAGCCTTTCTATTAAGAGTCCGAAGAAAATATTTTTATAAAGAAAAGAGTTTTAAGAGAAAATAGTCTAAAGAGTCAAAAGAGTAAGTTTTTCTATAGAAAATATTTTAAATAAGACACTTTTCTATAAAAGAAATGGCAAATGAAGATAATATTTCATATAGAAAAGTCTATTTTCTATAGAAAAGTGTCTTCTTTAGACTCTTTTCTATAGAAAAGTGTCTTCTTTAGACTCTTTTCTATAGAAAAGTGTCTTCTTTAGACTCTTTTCTATAGAAAAGTGTCTTCTTTAGACTCTTTTTTATAGAAAAATGTCTTCTTTAGACTCTTTTTTATAGAAAAGTGTCTTCTTTAGACTCTTTTTTATAGAAAAGTGTCTTCTTTAGACTCTTTTTTATAGAAAAGTGTCTTCTTTAGACTCTTTTTTATAGAAAAGTGTCTTCTTTAGACTCTTTTTTATAGAAAAGTGTCTTCTTTAGACTCTTTTTTATAGAAAAGTGTCTTCTTTAGACTCTTTTTAATAGAAAAGTGTCTTCTTTAGACTCTTTTTTATAGAAAAGTGTCTTCTTTAGACTCTTTTTTATAGAAAAGTGTCTTCTTTAGACTCTTTTTTATAGAAAAGTGTCTTCTTTAGACTCTTTTTTATAGAAAAGTGTCTTCTTTAGACTCTTTTTTATAGAAAAGTGTCTTCTTTAAACAGTTTTCTATAGAAAAGTGTCTTTTTTAGACTGTTTTCCATAGAAAAGTGTCTTTTTTAGACTGTTTTCTATAGAAAAGTATCGTCTTTACACTCTTTTCTATAGAAAAGTGTCTTCTTAAGACTCTTTTCTATATAAAATCATAATCCTAAGAAAATATTTCTATATAAAGGAAATTCAAAAGATATTTTTCAATAGAAAATAGTCTAAAGATTTTTTCGTAGAATAGAGTCTAAGAAGACACTTTTCTATTTTTTCGGTTAAAGGCAGTATTTTATAGTGAGACTAAGTCCCCATTTTCTGCCTATAGTTCCAGTACATTAAACAAATCTTAAAATTTTTTGTATTTGGGGAGATTTTTATTGTCCCATTTCGGATTCTTACTATTGGCAACTTTATGCTAATAAACAGAGAGGTGTGTGTTGTTTCTTACTCAGTTTGTTTGTACTCCCCCTACAACAAAAAATACATTAATACAACATTTGGTTCACATGTGATTCATTTTTATATTTATTATTTGTTGTTGCTTATTTTTGCATTTATAAATATATAAATCAGGCATGGAAAGTTAAAATTTTGAAATAATACTAACTTATAACAAAAATATGTAGTAATATTTACATACATACCCACCAACTATAACTTTTTTCATTATTTTTCACACCTTTTCCTCTCAGACTCTTTTCAAACAAATTCCAAACGCTTTCTGAACAAAACGAATGGCCCGACAAAAGAAAATTAACCGGCACTCGGCCTAACAAAACTGCATTGAAATTTTGACAAATTTTAAAACACTTTTTTAAACAAATAATTTAGCACTTTTTTATAAATACTCTTCCATAACGATAGTAATAAACAATTTTCAACAAAAATATTTAAATATTAACAATTAATTTATGTTTTAGATTAATTTAAACAGGACTATAAACACGAAACAACCAAACACTTTAGAAATTTTTAGCAACTAAAGAAGAAGACGAATAACTAAAGAAACAAATGGTAATAGAAATTGTCATTGTTGTTGTTATTATTTATACTCCATTTAAAGAGCAAATACATACATATCTACAATAACAATAACAACGACTGCAATAAATGATGGATGCTTTTTGTTATTGTTCCATTTTATTACTTTTCTTAATATTTCTAAAGTGTTCGGTTGTTTAGGATTAATGTTACTGTTAAAATTAAGCTAAAACGTTAATTAATTATTAATAATAAAATATTTTTGTTGTAGAACATTAAACAAATGTTAATTTATATCGGTATATGAAAATATTTGTGAAAAAATTAGTTAAAAATGTGTTAAATAAAAAAAGTGCAATTTGCAAAAGTTTTTGGCGGCGGCCGCTGTTTCTTGGTTTCCACGGCCATTCGTTAGCAGCCAAACACAAAAGAGAGTGCTGTTGAGTGGGAGTGTAAGAGGGGGTATAACTATATTAGTAAATAATTAATTTGTTGTTGTTATTACAATGTTAGAATTACATATTTAAAGATGAAATTGTATGCAACCACAAGGTTAGAAAATAGACTAGACTATAGACAAGACTATAGACTAGACTATAGACTAAACTATAGACTAGACTATAGACTAAACTATAGACTAGACTATAGACTAAACTATAGACTAGACTATAGACTATAGACTAGACTATAGACTAGACTATAGACTAGACTATAGACTAGACTATAGATTAGACTATAGACTAGACTATAGACTAGACTATAGACTAGACTATAGACTAGACTATAGACTAGACAATAGACTAGACTATAGACTAGACAATAGACTAGACTATAGACTAGACTATAGACTAGACTATAGACTAGACTATAGACTAGACTATAGACTAGACTATAGACTAGACAATAGACTAGACTATAGACTAGACTAGACTAGACTATGGACTAGACTATAGACTAGACTATAGACTAGACTATAGACTAGACTATAGACTAGACTATAGACTAGACTATAGACTAGACTATAGACTAGACTATAGACTAGACTATACTATAGACTAGACTATAGACTAGACTATAGACTAGACTATAGACTAGACTATAGACTAGACTATAGACTAGACTATAGACTAGACTATAGACTAGACTATAGACTAGAAGACTATAGACTAGACTATAGACTAGACTATAGACTAGACTATAGACTAGACTATAGACTAGACTATAGACTAGACTATAGACTAGACTATAGACTAGACTATAGACTAGACTATAGACTAGACTATAGACTAGACTATAGACTAGACTATAGACTAGACTATAGACTAGACTATAGACTAGACTATAGACTAGACTATAGACTAGACTATAGACTAGACTATAGACTAGACTATAGACTAGACTATAGACTAGACTATAGACTAGACTATAGACTAGACTATAGACTAGACTATAGACTAGACTATAGACTAGACTATAGACTAGACTATAGACTATAGACTAGACTATAGACTAGACTATAGACTAGACTATAGACTAGACTATAGACTAGACTAAGACTAGACTATAGACTAGACTATAGACTAGACTATAGACTAGACTATAGACTAGACTATAGACTAGACTATAGACTAGACTATAGACTAGACTATAGACTAGACTATAGACT